ATAAATATTTCATCAAAATGCTATTTGCAACCATTTTGGTTTTTATATCTTTTATAGCTTACAAAATTTATCAAAAATTCAGAGTACCCGAAGGACTTAAAGATGTACCAACATTAAATTATTTTGGATTTCTTGCTTCTTTGATCTTAAATAAAGGTCCTGACAAAATTTGGGAAGAGTCACGAAATATTCTTGAAAAAAATGGAATTGGAAAAGTAACAAAAATTTATCATTCTTATTCTTATGCGATATTTAATTAAAAGATAATTTTCTAAAAAAAAAAAAAAATTAGTTTTGGTTCAATGGAAATTGGTATATCGTTACTATCGATTTGGAACTAATAAGAGATGTATTTGCGAAAACAGGTGAGAATTTTTTTTTTTTTTTTTTTGTTGATTCTTTTTTTTTTAACATTGTAATTTCAATTTAGATTTGTATACTAAAACACCGATGGAAGAATTTTTTCCCGGATCTTTAATGGCTAGTTACTACGGTACAAACGTAGTATTTACCAACGGAGATGTAAGTAAATTTGAAATATCTCTAAATATGATATTTATATTTTACTGAAATTCGAATGCCATATTCATTTGTAGGCTTGGAAACGTCATCGGTATGTATCGTCTATTACATTTATTCATAATAGATTATAGAATTAATTTTCCCTTATATTCTAGTTATATTACAAATCCTGCGTTTAAGAGTCTACCCATGCACGTATTTGATGAAACTGCTGTGAAATTGCTGAAGGTCATCGAAAAAGTTGATAATGAGCCCATAGAAGTAAATGATCTTATGCATAGGTATTAGTCTTGAGTTATTTACTTTTTAGTAATAGGGACGAAAATTTTTAATTTATGATCTATTTATTACAGATTGACTTTAGACGTACTTGGAAGAGCTTCTTTTGGATTTGATTTTAATGTAAGATAAATCTTTTTTTTTTTTTCCTAAAATGAAAAAAAAATGACGATTAAAAATTTAATATTAATTAGAATCTTGAAGATCCAACAAATGTCTATGTTACTACATATAAAGAAGTGGTGGCAGAAACTGATAACCCATTATATCTAATTCTCCCATTCATCGAATATATCCCGTATTTTGATCGTACTGAAGCACGTAAAAAAGTTGCAAAGATGAATGATTTATATAATGGACTTATTGAAAAGAAGCGTAAATCAATGGAAACGGACGAATTGAATAAAAAAATAAACAATAATTCCGCTGATCTATTAGAGTGTATGATAAACGCTTCTAACAATCAAAAATATCCCATGTCAAATGAAGAAATGCGAGTAAGTATTATGATTTGTAATATAACCTTGCTCAAAGTTAAATTTATTTTCAATAATAATCTTCTTGATTATATAGAGTAATCTTGCAATATTTATGTT